CATGGGGAGAAGAGTTGACCGTGGGATCTACAGGGTTATAGGAGGATTCCTCCTGTTCTGGGATGGCTGCTCCTGGGATCCTCTTCTCAGAGCTCTTGAGAGAGCTGCCCAGGCCCTCATTACTGAAGAGGAGCTGCTCAAGCTGTCGGGGTGTTTAGTGCAGCCACTGTCTTTCAACTGCTGTCCAGAAGTGCTCCTGTGGAGAGAGGAGGTGGCTGAGGCCCCCAGCTGCCGCTGGCACACAGAGACCCTCCTGCACAGCAGGGCCCAGAGCGGCCAAGGCTCCCCAGCACAGCTGCAGCTGCTGGCACAGCTTGGCCCAGCTGGAGAGCTGCCCCTCAAGGCCCCGGCGAGCAGGGGATGGCTCTGGGCAGGGTCCCTGGCCAGGAGCAGGCCCCAGAGCACCTCTGCCTTTCAAGGGCAATCTCATTCCCGCTCTTTGTCCTGCCCACCTTGCTTTGCCTCTGCCTGCTGCTCCTGGGGCTGCTCTTGGCCAGGCAGCCTCAGTGGCAGCCAGCACTGGCTGCAGCCCAAGTGGGCTCCCCAGGACAAGGCCCAGCAATTAGGAGGCCAAAGAAAGCCCCAGGCAGCAGCAGAACTCTCAGCAGGGTTATTTGGGAAACCACTGACTACCCACAAGTCCACAGCAGCCTCCCTGGAAATGTTTCCTGTCTACAATAGGCTTTCAAAAGAAGCTGTTGGAGGGAAAGATGAGCAAAACACTCACCGTTTTCTCTTCCAGGCATAGCAGATTCCAAAGCAGCACAACATGAAGATAATTTCCAAACAAAGCATGCCTGCTATTAGCTCTATCCAGCAGAACATTCCCTGACAGAAAGCCCTTTCAATGTCCTTCTGGGAATCAGGAACTTGTGTTGTGCTGGTTGCATCAACGGAAGCAATGGGCAGTGTGAGCCCGTGCTGTGCTCTGCTGCTGAGCTGGCAGCATGCTGGGTATGTCCCGTACATTCTCTGTTTCCCCCAGAGCTGGGGCCTGCAGGCACCTTGCTGCCCCTTGGCACAGGCTGTGCCACCCAACAGAGCCCAGAAGGCCGGGAGCAGAGCCCAGGGACAGCGCAGCTGCTTGGGCAGTGGCTCCTTCCAGGGACTCAGGCCAAAGCCATCCCTGAGCAGCCAGAGCCACCCCTGACCCTCCCTGCTCTGTGACAGCTCCCCCAGCCCAAGGGGACAGAGCCAGGCCCTGTCAGGAGCCAGTGCAGGCCCTGCCCAGTTGGGAGACAGGGCTGGCTGTGGCCCTGGGCTCACAGCAGGGCTCCCACTCAGAGCTGCTCCTGTGCCTTGGGCCTCTGGGCACTCAGGACCAGCTCTGGGAGCAGCTGCAGAGGGAGTGATGTTGGTGCATGAGTCCCATTTCCCAAGGGCTGGGAACGAGCTCCAGAGGCCTCGGAGCTGAGGCACCTCCAGCTTTGGCTGCCGCCACAATGTGCAAGGGCCGGCCCTGGGGGGAGAGCTGCTGGCACACAGCCCCGCCGAGGGCTGAGCCCAGCACAGCAATTACCTCCTGTGTCTGGGCCTGTGCCTGGCATCGCCTTCTTTCCTGTGGCAGAGGCTGCCAATGAACCACTGCTTGCTCTGGGAAGTGCCTCCTTGTGCTTAGGCTGTTGGTCCATCACTTGAGGAAGGAAGAAAGACAGCTGGATCAGATGGAAACATTCTCCAATGGGGAGGTAGCATCTTCAAGAGGTAATGCATGTCAAAATCACAGGTAAAGATCAGGAAAATGTCCAGGCTGTTGGGGCTGGGCCAATGCACTCCTTCCTGCAAACAGCTGCCCCTCCTGGTCTGCCCCAAGATCAGGAAATTGCAGGGGATCTCAGGGTGTGCATGGCCTGTGCTGCAGTTTGGGTTCCCTGTCAGCTGATGCCAAATGCCTTCCTGCAGAGGCTGGGGAGAAGCTGCAGCCAGGCCAGGCTGGGGAACAGCCTTGCAGGCTGTGAAAGCAGCAGCAGGATTGCAAGGCTGCCATGGATCCCTTCCTGCTGTGCCGGGCACGGCGTGTCCAGATGTGCAGAGAAAGCCCCCGGCTGCTGAGTGTCAGGAGAAAGCTGAGGGACATGGACCAACAAGGTGTTGTGCTCCCTGCTGCATTTCCTTCAGCATTTTCCACATGACTTCAAATGGCCCCAGG